TGGTTCCCGTAATGGAGAGGAAGGTCCCGAGAGAGTTGGTTGCGGAAAGCCATACCATAAAAGCCGCCGCCGATTAAGAAACAAACAGAGTAAAAAATTATACAGCCATGGGGGAAGCGAAGCTGGAGATAGAGACGTTGAGGGAAAGATGAAGAGTGTAGTGTACAAATCAAACGCGTCTTCAAGAACGGAAAAAGGAGAGGCAAGGGAAGCCTCGGGAAGAAGTGGAATTTTACAGATTGGGGAAGGAGGGAAAGCGGTTTTCAGATGAACAAAACAGCTCGGGAAACTGCTTATTCTGAAACGGCGGTTTTGTTCCCCTGTGCTTTGTAAGGACGGATATTGGTAGGAATCCTCTTATCTCTGCCACTGGCACGTAACATCGGCATCACCCAAAAAACTTAGCCATAATATTTTCTAAAATTTTGGCTACTTACCACTTACTAATCAACTAAGATATTTCGTTTGTTACATATTTATTAATTTATTGAAATATTATTTAATAAGGTTCAATCATTAAAAAAAAAAAGGTTTTATATTTATGTAATTATATATGCCACGATTTGTACTGTTTATGGGCTTTGACTATGGACGCTTTAGAATGAGGGGGAAAATAATACAAGATGATAATAGTAGTGTAAAATGTATATACATTGTTCTTGCTATTCATTTAATTAATAATTGTGATTGAATTGTGGCATGTTATTTGTAGCAAATTAGATGTTTTGAATTTTGTGTTGGACATATTTTTCCGCAGGACTTAGTCCAAATAATCAATAAAATTATTCTCCGTGACAAAGAGACTCGGACCGTGTTTTCATGATACATAACTGAAACAACCAAAATTTATCAATATATATCTTTACCAGCATAATCCTATCTACTACAACTATAAGTAGCTCACTCTACTCTCATTCAATAGTCTATCATTTGTGAGGTATGCGTTACGCTTGTTCTCAAATGCACCTAAGGATATATTATGCGTCTAAGTCAATAAAGTATGATAGTGTACGAATCAAATAATACATGAAAACTCAAAATATTTTTTCAAGGTATCCCACCATAAAACAACCCTGATCTAAACATATCTCACAATGTCCAACATGAAATCGAGAGAATCTCATAATGATGGGTATGACTTCAACAACTTCAATATGTGATTCCCACCACATTTCAAATTATAAATGATGCATCCGAAGTAATGAATTTGGTTATTAGCTTTTGCACTCTATGTTATTGTACCGTATAGATTAGTTAGTACAAGTTCGATCGATTTTAATTTGATATCTATATCTTTCGAAGTTTTTAATTTTACACACAATGATTATTTTATCTTCGAAAAAAAACAAAAATTCATTCAAATATTTAGCCAACATTAATGCAATACTCGCTTCATACTCTAACAATCATGTAAATTAATTGATGGCAAATAGAAGAAAGAGCAACAAAATTTTAGTAATCTACATAGCTAAAAAAAAAATTTCTCTTAAAAGGGATTATGATGAAGGTAAAATTCCAATTAGTTTGGATAGACACATGAAGATAAACTCTTATGGATAGAGTTGTGGTAGACAAAGATTCAATGAAGACAAAATCATTTATTGGTCAAGCAGGTAATAGTTGCCCAAATCTTGAGGTAGCGAGACAAATGCCAGATAAGAAATATGAGGTGACATTCAAGCAACACTACTCAAATTTGTGCACGTAATTGATCATAATGAACTTGTCTAAATTATATTGATCAACTTAAACGCCAAACACCTTGTTCAAATTGTCAAGAGGTAGGCATAACATGTTGGTGTACGACAACTAGTCATGAACGATTATACTGTTTAGTGAAATGAACATGATTCATTCCTAATTAATTCAATTCAACTCCTTTCTTATTAAAATTAGGTTGAGAAAGACGAGATAACTTTATTAATTATTGAGTTGTTAGCTTGAATAGTAAAGGGTGTCGGCTGATTAGTTTTAATACCCAAATGTTAGTGTTTGATTGGGCAAATTAGCAAATTACAGTCTAACAATTGTCAACGATTGAGTTGGCTGTGGTTCAAACTTCAATGATAAAAGTTAAAGTCATCTCCATGGAACAAAGGAGCAACCTCTTGTCCTACAAACACTCACCTTTTTATTTTTTCCCCTCATTGGCTTGCCCTTTTTACCCCCATCACCTCTCAAATTGTGCTGAAAATTATTATTTATATTAATCCGAACAAATGATTTATATATTTATTTCCGGGTCGTGGGTTGTCGGGTCAGTGGAGCTAACCACTTGTCAACCCGCCTAATCATTTGCATCACTATTTCCCATTTTCATTTACACTTAAATATTTATCATGTTTATATTTTCACTCAGAAATTTTTTATAATGGATAAATTTATATGTTAAAGAAAAAAAAAGAAGTGGGAATAAATCCAATTTTTGGATTTGGAATTAATTAAAATTTGAGGAACAAGTAGGGAGGGGGGGACCATTGGGCGCACTCATTTTGATTTGGGGAAGGGACGACGAACCGGCGACACGTAACGTGTCCTTCTCTCTTGGATCACCCATCTGACCCGCACTCCTTTATAAAGCCAACCCTATCCTCACCGTACACGTGTCCCGTCTGTTTGTGGGGACCGTCCCGTTAATTTTGACTCCCACACGGCTGCTGCCGCTTTAATCAATGCCCATTTTCTCAACTACTTTAGATTATTGGTGGGCCAAAAACATCAATTTTTCCCTCTGCCTAACTTTTATTTTTTAGTAAATCACAGGTTAGTCTATTTCTTAAGTTTCTAAGTTTCAAAGATCTCGATTAAATTGTGAATCTATTCTATAAAAATTTGAAAGTTTGAAAAACTTGGCAAATTCAAAAAAATAAGTTATATATTTTTACTTATTATTTATTATTAATTTTATTTATCTTATTTCTATATTAAAATCTTATTGTAATTTCAAACAAACAAAAAAAAATTGCTGCCAACTAGGTCTTTTTTTCTTTCTGGTTTTTATACTTTTCTAAGATTTTAAAATAATTGTTAAGGTGTAGATTATAAAATAAAATAAATTGATAAGAAGAAAACATATTTTCCAAAAGTAATAACATTGTTCTAAAATAAGGTTTCTTTTGTTTTTTTTTTTTTTCATTTCCAAAACTTGGGTGCAAAGAAAAGAAGTGGACTGTGCATTGTACTTTTAAAATATCGACAAGAATAAACGTATTTTTCAAATATTTATATGAATAATCACTTTCAAGAGTTTTTGAAATGGACAACATATTACCCACTATACTTTGGAAATTTATTATCACTTGTTATTTTCCCTAGAAATAGTGTTTTAGTCACAAGAGTTTGTCCTCATCCATATTTTTTATTTTTAGTAACAAAAGAAAGTAATTTTTTTTTTATTTTGAAAAGTAAAAGAAAGTAATTTTACCTCCCTTCCCATTACGTCATTTATCTTTCTTTTTTACTATATAGTTATTTAATTAAATGTTTCTATTTTTGTTTTTATTTTCATTTATATTTTTAGTTTCATCCTTTTTCAATTAAGAGAAACACATTGTGTTTAGAAACGGTTACTTTTTATTGTTCTTTCGTTTTTATTGAGGATGAGAGAAAGAAAATTTTGGTAATCATTTATTTCTCTAAAATTTAAAATTAAAAAAATTAAAAATTTTATATGAAAACAAAAGTTTTAATTAAATATTAAAAAAATTTATGGTACTTTTACAAGTAGAAAATGATTTTATCTATATATTTGAAAAGATTTAAACACGAACCAGAGATATAAAATTTGATTTTATTATTTTCAAAATTTTTAGATATTTTTAAAAATATTTCTCATAAATGAGAAAAAAAATAATAGCACTAATTTATACGTCTCAAAAATTTAGAAAAAAAGGCTATAAAACTCTTCATGCATATGTAAAATAGTGTGGTCTAATAAACTCTTCATGCATATGTCAATGTCGATGAAAATGTTGAGGTCTCAATGTCATGGAAATATCCATAAAATGTCGATGTCGATTGATATTTCTGTAAAAGTTAGAAAAATTAAAAAAATCGTAAAAAATATTTAAATGAACAAGTAACATTTTCCTATTTCTAAATTAGTTAAAAATAATTAACATTAATATTATGTATATATAAGTGACATGATTTTGCTGATATTTTTCATATTTTGTCGATTTTCTTGTAATACGATGGAAATGTTGATTTATTCCTCATGTCGACGTCGAACTCATGAAAACATGAAAATGTCGACGTGTCGACGGATATTTAGAATCATGGTTCCATCAATTCTTCCTAAAAATAGGAATATGAAATAAACTTATGTTCTCCGTATTTTGACTCAATTCCAACTTTGTTCTTAAAATTGTTAATTATTTTATTTTATATTTAACTTTTTCATAAACTAATTGTTAAAAATATTAAGTGAAATTTGATTGTACTTATTTAATTTGAGAAGTAATAGAAATATCACATTTGGCTAGATTAATCATTTAAAACATTAGAATAAAGATGTTGGAGTGAGTCACTATAGTGATTCACTTTGAGAAACAAACTCTTAAAAAAGGAGCCAAGAGCATGAACTTTCCAAAAGGCCAAACCGAACCATTTGAGACTGGTCATGTGTCTTTTTAAAGGGCCGACCTACAACTCCTGTCTTGGTCGACCTTCTTAAAGGACGAATCAACTTTGAAGAGATTATGCATGCGAAAACCTTCAATTGAATCTTAGACCACACGTTGTGATTCTTAAGGCTATCGGAGAGTCGTTATAGTACTATCGGAAGTTCATCTATGTAAATAGAGAACTCCACTCAATTTTTCAGTTATGTGAAATTATAGTCTCTTGAGCATAAATCGAACTTATACTGACTTGAACGTCGGAATTTTTTCTCTATTTTATAGGTCTCTCGTTCATTATCGGCTCACCAATCTAAATTTTACGACCTTTGACCTTTTTTCGAATCAAACATAGGATATTATCAAGAGTGGGAGTGCTTTAACTTTAGTCATTTCCTCAATATTGGTGGTAGCCAAGAAAAATGAATAAAAAGTCTTAGGACTCGTTTGAAAATGTTTTTGTTTCCTGTTTTCTTCGCTTTTTTTTTCAATTTGTTTTAATAGATATATAATTATATTTGGTAACTATTTCTATTTATTGTTTTTGATAAAAGAAACAAAACTAAAAAAAAATTATTTGATAACCATTTTTGTGTTTTTTTTAAGAAAAAAATTTTAGTAAAGTTAATATAAAAATAATTTTCAAGAATTTATAGTATCCAGTAAATTCTAATCAATTATGGTAGGAAATAAAGTTTTTAATCTTGTTTTAAAAAAATCTTTAAAATTTAATTAACTATTAAGAATTAAAAAAAATTTGCTAAAAAAAATAACTATGAAGAATTAATTTTAATTTCTTAAAAAAAATCTTTTCTTTTTCTAGTTTCTTAAATTTGCACTCATATTTTT